CCCCATGCAAAACTGAGGTAACTGAAAAACACAGAGCTTTATAGTGTGAAGTCAGCTTTAGTCTAAATTTCTTATTTGTGCACAGGGTAGGACAAAAATATCCAGTTTTTGTTTCTATATTTAGTAATATATTGCAATCTGATAAATTCCCATAACTTATGTAATCGAGAAGTATGTAAGTAAATAAGGGAAGTGTATAAATGCCATTAAAAGAAACCTCCTGTTTATAATAAATGCAATGAGGAAAGGACTACCCTGTAGTAATTTCTGTCTAATTTTGTGAGTTGATAGCAAATTCATTCAGGTGGAGCTGGTGTAGTCAGCAACTATTTACAGTGTGAAGGGAGAAAGAGAAAGAGGGGGAGAGAAGGGGGAGGAGGGGACCTGAGGGAAATGGGAGGAGACAGCAGCAGAGGAGGGGCATTACGGGAAATAGGTGGCTAAACAGGTCTAGCTCGCCTTTTCCAGGACATGGTTAAGAAATACTCAAAGACATACGGTGCAGTGAGTACCTGGGACAAGCTGTGTCTATCACACAGAGATCCAAACACATGCATGTGGAATCTGTGTGCAGCTAAACTCTCATTCAGTGCTGATGTTGTGAGGACCGTGTGCCTATCTCCATGCAGATCCTTGCAGAGGTGAAATGTCCTGATGAGTTACTCCATTATTTTGTCAACGTGAGGACATTCTGTCCTGTAATTATTTACCAATAAACCGGATATGATGTTGCAATATAGGACAGTTCTAGCTTAACCTGTTTCCACTTGTTTTTATTAAGTCATTAATTAAGTGCTGGATTAAAAGACTGGAAGTTAATGATAGTAGAAGAACAACAATCTTAGAAGACCAGAGTTGCGGTCTGAAAGTTTGAGAAAACTGTACTGGATATGGTGGTTGTGACATTGCTGGTGTTTGGGATTCAAAGTTAATGAAGATCTAGTAATCACAGAGCACCATATGTTGGTTTTCATCCAATTCAGAGCTTTCAGAGTCTATATAAATGGTTTGCTTCTCTGTGGCCTCCACAACATATGGAGTTGCATCTAAATAAACATCAAAAGGAATGATGTCAGCCCAGTTCGAGTATGTTATTATGAATGTTCAGTCTGAATGTCAGTACAACAGCACCATTACAGGAACCAACATCTTACATCTTTCAGCTGCAGATTTAAAAAAAGCAATAAAGAACATGTTACTTACTTGTGGTTACTCTTTTTTCTTTTAAATAAAATCCAACACTGTCTTGTGGTATGTTTCAAAAACTTAGAAAAGCACAAAATCTGATTTTTTTTTACAGTTTTTTTTGTCTTGTCAGGTTAATGAATATGGATTAAAGCAAATTAAATATGCATTCTTAAGTGTAATGGTAAATTCGCCATTTATTTAGCTGTCACAAATTACTGCTGATGCAGTCATCTCTGGGGGTTGTTTTAGCCTCTTTGAGCTCATTGTTTTGGTGTTGTCACTTGAAACTGACCTATTTTGCTTTCCTTAATAAAATTAGCAGCAACTAGCTGGTGGAGAACAGAACTAGAAAACTTTTTCTATTAGAAGACGTAATAAACACCAGATGAGGTGTAAACTTGAGATTCCAATAAGAATATGCTTTGTGTCTACCAATAAGTTTTGGGGGAATAAACCAAAACCAATATAACCTGTGAGTGGATTGTTTACAGTATCCTGTGCACTGAGGTTAAATTAGGGTTCGCTGTGGTTCCGTTCAACGCGACAGGAAGGAAGCTACACAGAGCATTTCTTCTCAGCCTCCTGATACGAGAGAAAACAAACGTCTCCCCTGTAGTACATCCTGGGTTCCTTGGTAATGACGCTTCAGGACACACTGATTGTAAACTACCTTGTTGGCAGTGAAAAACTGAATTTTACAGGAAAAGATGATAATCAGCTGTTGATTTGTCACCTATCGACATCAAAATCTCTTATTTGTGATGAAAATGTGAATGGTACTGATGTAAATATGAAATTCGTGAATTCCCTTTAGCTGCACTTGTTTGATGTTTCTTTCGTCATAATGGCTTCAGTATTGTCTAAGTGAGTTAAAGGTTAAGCTGTATGCCAAAGCCTTTCTCCTGATGTGACGTGTTAACCTCATAGAAACAACAGTGTCCATAACTATCTGTAGGCTCTGTCATTTTGGGCCTGCATTTTAGCCAGTGGTGATGAGCAATTTGTCAAATTGGCTTATGACATTTGCACTGTACTATATTAATTCTCCATTCTTAGTTCTTCTTGCAGCTTTTGGAGAGTTTTTTTGAGTAGCACAGAGCACACTGATATGGATTTTTCAGTGTGCACCATCTGACTCCTTTTAGAAACTGTAGGTTATTTCTTATGTTTGTATGAAGTGCTACTGAGCAAAAGGCCGAAAATTGCAAGAACCACTCTGTTTTGAAAGATTTAAAATATTCAGCAAAAACTTTACTTTCTTGCCGCCAGCTTATTGACACCTTGAGATAATTCAGTTTCACATGTGTCAGAACTGTACGTCATACGTTGAATAGGCAGAAATATGTCGGGAGATGACATAGTGACTTTACCATTGACCAAAAACGGATGATAATCTGTTTTTGGTGGTGAGGAAATGTCATACTGATAAGAAATCAAATTAACAGATTTCAAGTAAATTGCCTTATGAGAATGTATTTAGCTATAGTGAAACTAAACTAAGCTTCTCTTGAGAGTGGTTAAGCCTTTACTTGGAAAAGATCACCTGGAGAATCATTGAAGCCACACAAATATCAAACATATAGATTAAAGGGAACAAAATGATTTATGATTTGGTATAATACATGTAAAAGACTTTCTGCAGGATGGTTCTATGTACCTTTTTTACTCAGAAATTGTAAGTAATCAATAACAAACTACTGCACTATTCCAAAGTGTTTGGGACAAACACCGTGGCCACTTACTCAACCTACGTTGCTCAACAATATTCAAGTCACTACATTTCCCCTGTTGTGCAACTGGTCAGTCCTGATTTTGTCCATATCATGTGCAGAAACCTGACCTACAGGAATACTGAATAAAAGTTGTTTTTCTTTGTTCAGCAGTGACAGTGTTAAGGCAACGCAGCCAAGCTTGAACTTAGCATAGAACAGGGATGGAAAATGGGGAAGATTGTTAGCCTGGTTTTGTCAAAATGTGACAAAACACCACCACAACTAAAAATACAATCTCTACAAGTCTGCAAAAATGTTATCTTTAGACATGAACCATGTCTGATTCGAGTCTTTTAAGTTAAGCTAAACTAGCTAAACCAATCTTAACGGTTAAATAAAAATAAATGTCTTCGACAGAAAAAATGAGACTTTGCCCAAATAGGGGAGATCGTTTAAGTATAACATTCATTTTAACATTTATGTGATAATATGCCACACTACTGTTAAGCTGAGAAATTCTCCTAAACCATTCACTCTTGTTAGCTTTTATGCTAAGCTAAGCTAGGCTCGCACTTTTTTTCCACTTCACTCCGCATGCGAGCCTTGTGCTTTGCGCTGGGAAGAGGGGGGAGGGGCAGTAGTTACACTCACAGTAGCAAAGGAACAGAGCGGGAGGGAAAGAGAGAGAAAGAGAGCCAGGGACAACAATGTCACATTAGAAAGGTATAGTAATCATCCACAACTATTTTTAGTTGAGGATGATAAAGGATTCAGAAAGTTTATTCATGCAGGCTCATATGACAGAGAATGTACATCTTCTTTTTGTTTTCATATTTTAATTTATATTTAATTGTGTTGTGGTTTGCAGTGTTTTGTGTTGTTTCACTTTAAATTTGTTTAAAAGGAAAAATTTAAATAGTTAAAAGTTGAAATGTGAATAGTTGTTTTTTGTATTATATGATTTATTTATTAAATTTTATGTGGAGTGAATAAATAAAAGTATATTTACGTTGCCCCTAGAGACAAAGCACCTACAAAATCCGAAGCAGATAAAAACTCCGGAGCACGTATAAACTCCAAAACACGTAAAAACTCAGAAGCACGTAAAAAACTCCAAAACACGTACAAAAGACAACAGAAGTGCTCCAGGATGCTAGGCGCAGTGTTGAGCTTTTGTTACCTACTGGCTACAAAAGCCATTCAAGTACCAGCGACCGGATTTGGTGTGTGTTAGTAACAGGTAAATGAACTTTTTTTTTTAAATTATTTGAATATAAATGAGTGCATGTGTATAAATACACAAACAATTTAATTTAAATGATCTAGGTAGCTCTGTTTTGGAAGTTCAGTTAACGCTAGAAATGTGTTTTGTATTTTGTACGTGCTTTTTGGAGTTTGTACGTGCTTTGTCTCTAGGGGCCACCGCATATATTTATATATAAACATATATAAATAAAACCACTTTTTTTTTTACATTAGTAATTCCTTTTATATTGTTGTTAATAATAAATTAATTAAAGCAAAACAACCTAAAGAGTCGGTTCAGAGCCGAAAGAGCTGGATCTTTTTAGTGAGCCGAGCCAAAAGAGCCGGTTCTCTAAAAAGAGCCGGAAATCCCATCACTACTAAATATCAACATGAGGATGGACTCGGTCTAAATTGAAAGTTAAGAGTCATGTGCTTCAGTCTACTTATTGTTTTGTTGTTGAGACACTAATTATTCAGGAAAACATCCTCTGACAGGCTATCGACCCCTCATTATTGTCTCAAGAAAAATCACAGTGCCACACCCTGTTCATTAAATTTTTATATCTACACTATTAACTGATGTTTAATCTGGGAATTTAGCTTTAACACAGCTATTCAAATTGGGTTATTTAAACTATATTAAGGTTTTTATTTATCACATTATCACATTAAGGTAGCACTGGTGGATTTAAAATGTATTTCTTTCTGTCATGTCCAGTCACATCTATGCCTTCACACAATATCACGACCATCTATGAAATAATATGCCCATGACAATGCATAATGTTTGCAATGAGCTATAACATTTTACCATTTACAATATTATAAATAAATAATAAACAATGACAAAAATATTTAGAAATGACCGACTTTGTTTATTAAGAATTGATCTCATAGAAAAAATCAAAACAAATAAAAAATAGCAAATCTTACAAAGTAGTCATCAGAATATACGTTTATATTTTAGACCATAAAGCTTTTGGAAGGCCTACAAAGTTTGTCTAACATCAGCTTTGTGCCGTCAATGCTTTAACAAGATACTTTCAGTGATGTTTCAGAGAACATCGGCTGAATACATAAAACAATAAAACTGACATCTTTATCTATAAAACATCTGTTAGAAATGCTCTGAGAACTCTGAATACATGCAATCTCTGGTATGACATAGTCATTACAGAGGAAAGACACAGCTGAATGTGTTTCCTCCCACTTCCTCAATGGAAATTTCAGTACCTTGCCATTTCTTGAGTGTTTCGGCATTGGTATTGCTGTAACTCTCAACTATGGCTAACATGTATGTACAGAGTGCACTTAACAGTAAATGCTTTGGTACCAAATAAAAAAAAGAAAACAAAAATCAACAAAAAAGTATTGTACTATAATTCATATGTATGAAAATTTTACAAAGAGATCAAAAGTAAAACAATAAGCAATATATTCCAGCATTACACATGTAATAGGTGGATTCACGGGTGGTAAGTCCAAACGGTGCAGAAACCAACAGTCCTGTCTGCCTCTTCATTCTGGTGCCAACTAAGAAAGGAGAGAGGGCCAGCGGCAGTCACCATTTTTAGATTCCACTGGAGGTTCGTTTTAGATGGGATGGATCGGGACTTAGCCCGGGGATGGGCAGAGCTCCTAACTCCGGCTGCCACAGTGTTGTGCTTCACACGCGTAGCCATAATCTCGGCGTCCCGGGGACATAAGGCACCACCCCGCTGCCTCTCAATCCCCTGCCGTGGGCCTCTCGGCGAGGAACTACCTTCCGTCAACACCAACACGGACCTCTCTGCTCAGCCCCGATCACTCTCTCCAGTGCGCGGTCATCCGCGATCTTCGGTCTCGTTCTCCTTTGCCGCACGCCTTGGGCCTCTGTGCCGCTCTGCGCGGCCGTCGCCCACACTGGTTACCACACCATGTCTCTCCCCTTCTCTCTCTCACGCTCTCTCTTATTAAATAGCTGTTGCCAACCCCAGGTGTGCCAGGTTAATGATCAGGAGGGGCGGTGGAATGGGCATCCTCCCAGAACAAATCGCATAACAAAACAAAAGCATGCAAAAACCCAACAAAATAAAACACTACGCGCTAAAAAAATATCAAAGAATAAAACACATCACTACATGCAAGAAAATAAAAATACCAAGTTAAACTTTGTCCATTCCACTTTATGACATACAAAAACAATAAATTTACTCCTTTGTTTTCTCAAGATCCAAGAAACCTCAAACAAATCATTTATGTTACAGTATATTGGTAGTAATTCTAACTTTACAAAAAAATATTCAAGAAAGAAAGTAGTACATTCACTTCCTCAAAGGCATAACTTTGGCTTGGAAGCCAACGCTACTGTTTTTTTCTTTTATAGTCATTAAAAACATGGATCGTCCACTTAAAGATCCTACCCCCTAAAGAGACCAGATGAATCACTTCAACTGACTAGTATGGTGAACACCAGCAGCTGAAAGCTGAACCCCCACAAATAAAAGGCTTGTTAGACAAGCAACAACAAATCACAGGTTACAAGTTGGGGCTGAACTTTACAGAATCCCACTGTACAGAATTATGAAACAATGTATCACCAATTTAAATAGGACAAGCACTGGGAATAGCTTGTCTCCAGTTTTTCAAGAAACTAAATTTACCTGATAATGTTGATGACTAACTGGAAGTAAAGACCAACCACAAGGTACCATGTTGTTAGAATCAGAATCAGGAAGTACTCTTGCTAACCAATCAAGTGATCAGTAACCAGTTGTATCTCTGCGAAACATTGCCTAAGGCTGACTGACTGTCAATCATTTTGGTCCCACTGAGGTAACAACCCAAGCAAAGGCCTACTGAGCATAGCAGGGCCAGCGTGAGTAAAGAAATTTCTGCTCTCCTTTGAGCTGCTACTGTTTAAAAAGAAGAATTTGAGCAGCTTTCAGTCATTTTGATTCATCCAGTCCTCCAAAGTTGCATAGTGGGCTTCTGCAGTCGTGCCGTTGTTTACGTAAGGACTATGGAGATTTTTGATGGCAGTACCGTCTGGCCGCATTGGATCTCTGTTGGTGCCATTGCTCATTGGACGGGGCAGCAGGTTAGTATACGTATTTCCTTGACTTGGGGACTGCATGAGGGGAGTATGGCTCTCTTGTCCCACTGAGATCTGGGACTCCTGTTTCAACTGGAAGCACGGCTGAGGTGCTCCCGCCATGTTCTTCAGAAAATCATTCTCTTCTATTCCCTCTAAGAAAGGGAACGACCCTACCCCCTGTGATCCCCCTCCACCTCCAGATCCATTAAAGGGGTTCGGAACTGAACCCATGGTAGTAAAATTGGACCACTGAATACCTTGGTTCTGGCTGACCAGATGGTTCTGAGCTTGGTTTGGAGTTTCTGATCGGAGCTCCTCCCTTTGATTCTGCTGGTGGAAGAGCTGCTCTGGTTCTCTCATTACAGGGGCTTGAGAACCTGTATCCAAGCACTGCAGGTCCCGCATGGAGAGCTGAGGGAGGGCATTGTTCTCACAGCTGTTGTGGTCCACACGATGTTGGTAGCTGCGGTTCGGTGGCTGTTGCCTGCTAACAGGACGTGGCAGATTGCTGGCACCTGGGTTTATGGTGACTGTGTCCATAGAGAGCGTTGGATTGGAATTTGCCCATGCATGGCTTAATTGTAGATTGGGTGCCATTAGATTCTGAGGAGCCTGTTGATAGGCTTGGGTGAACATAGAAGGTTGCTGTTGTTGTCTTGGGTATGCATTGCCCATGTCTGTAAAAAAGAAAAGAGTTTTAGTTTCACAGCAATGAAGTATATCGCCATCCTCCTTTTTATGATGACTTCAAACGTAGTTACCTCTTTTCAGGTGACTCATGGTACTCTGTGGTACTGCCTTGGGCCTATTCATTGTCAGACCGCTAAAAGGACCACCTAAAAAGAGACGGGAAACCTTAGCTGCGATGCAAACTTCGCAATCACAAGTAATCATATCACATGAGGTGTACTATATATAAATTGCCACATTGCTTACCTGACAATCCCGATATCTTCATCAAGTGCTCTCTTCTGCGCTTTTTCTCATTGTATCCATAAGGATCTGATGGAAAAACAACAATATTAACACTACGTGAGTCTAACCGAGAACTAGGTGCCACTAGTAAGCCCCCGCAGAAATAAAGCGATTGCTGCTCACCTTTGTCATCAGGCAGATACCGGAAATCCATTGGTTCACTGACTTCCTGATCAGAGGGCCGGCGTAGCTGCATGTGCACGGTCACCGAGTCCGTTATGGACGTGTTGTGGTAGGGCGGAGTCTTGAACACGATGGCAACTTGGCGATGAACATCAGCCTGAGAAAAGGAGCCTTTGGCCTCCCAGCCATCAGGGGAGAAGAACCGCACCTCAATGTCATCTGGAGCAATACAGGAACAGAAAAGTACATCAGCATGCAAAGAGACAGGCACTATGGGTGTGGGAGGTAAACTAAATCAGTGGACTGAATAAAGATGAAGAAAGAGAAAACAGATGCAAATAAATTTAGTACAGTGTGCAAAAATGCAAAGGTCTATAGTGCAGAACATTTTGATGTACCTTTTTGTACTTTGTCACACAGTAGGAAGATTTCGTCTCCTCCTCTGACACTTCCGCTATTTCTGTTGACCCGGCAGATCCTCAGCTCTGCAGTGTTTGGGGCCCCTGGTAATACAAAAAACAAGTTCTAAACACACAACGCAACAAATACTACAAGTTACAAGTTGCTCAGTACAAAAACAATATAACCAGGATCTGCTTTTGTTGACACGGTGGGCCTAGCTTAAAAAGCTGCCTTGGTTTTGAAGAACAATCCTCATTCAGTTTACAGCTAAAGCTTCAGCAGGTTGAGTCACATGTCACATGCCTGGAGCGAGAAGAGGAAGTGCTCCATGGTAACAGTGTTGTTTGAAGGTTGGTGTGTATAAAGAACTTCCCCTTTCTGTGTGTTTGTGTATGTGTGGAACAGTGAACTAGTTCACCAACTGCAACACTTGAAACACTAGTGGACACACGTACACAGGTCTTGCAAAAAGCACTTGCATTCACATATGCTGCAGCTGCTGGTACACACTGTATGTACAAACACGACTACATGTGTCACTTCTCAGTACTTACACAGTACTGTTATACTCACACAGGAAAGGGAATTAAGTATGTACTTAATCTTATATAATCACTTCTTGAAGTCTGCTGTTATCTGACCTCTACAGGTGTACAAAGCTGACCTTGGGGAGCCCGTGTACTTGTCAGGGCAACTATACGGCTATTTCATTATGTTCTCATGCAATTGCATGATGTGACGTCAGTGTATTTGACACAGACGGCGCTCGGTCACTCACTGTTGTCGTAGATGGGGTTGGTGACGATGGGGTTAAGCGCTCGGGTGTAGTGGCCGTTCTCATCCTGCAGGAAAACCTGAATGCACAGGCGAACCACATTCAGGTCGTACTCCTCTGTCTGCAACAGCTGCTCCCGTGGCACTACGATAAAACACACATCAGTTAGATGAAGCTGGTAATAAAGCAAACATTCAGAAATATAAACTAAGAAACATTTACACCAGACTTTCCCTTTAAAGGGCCAGTGCAAGTATTACCTGGTGGTTACTGTGGACCTAATTTGTAGAGACTGTTAGCACCCTTAGCACCTACCAGGTTACTGGCAAACCAGCAACATTTAGAGTTGCAGTTTGTTTAATGTCCAGCCTTTTCTTTTTTTTAAATATAATTTATATTTGTGTGGAGCACAGCTCTTAAGGATGGATGACACATAAATTGAAACGTAACATGTTCTAGTTTCTCTGACTTTGCCTATTTAGCATGGGGATAAAAATAAATGCCAGTCATTATGTCTTTTCTTTTTTGTTTCAGTGAAACAATATTTCATTATAAAAAAAAAGCTAAAACCTGCAAACTGGATAAACATCGGTCATTGTGACTAGTAAATGTCATCTGCTATTGGCTCACTGATATAGGTTACCTAGCTGCACACTGAAGTACCGACATATTTCAAACCATCAGCACAACTAAATACTTGCATTTCAAGTGCACACCATTGTTGAACAGACGTTATTACAGCAATAACAAAGGCATGCTATAAGCATACGCTCCTGCTTTGAGAAACAGGCAGACAGTGTAGTTATGCAGTCACATCTGTAGGCTGTCCACAAAACCTCACCTTTGGATCAACATAAAAACGTCACAGATAAGCTTTTTCAAACGTCCTCAGCCTACATGCTCATCTGCATCACCCGCCTTCAGAAGCAACACGCAAACACACACACACATAACACACACTCTATACTGAGAGACGCCCACGTGCCGACACACGCACGCATGCACAGAGCAGGCTTTCACATCTACCTACTTTCTATCTTCCGTGCTCATGAGGCCATCCCCACCTACAAAGTGTCGCCACTGTGACGCTCCACACGTCACCTCAGAGTGGAAACAAGTATGCGCCTCTGTATGTGTGTGTTTGAGTGTCTACACCGCACATAAGTAAAGAGATGAGACTCTCCTGCACGAGTGACCAGGGAGCCTCCTGACGTATGTGAAAGTGGTGTGACATGAGAAAATATCTTATAAGCTTTTTAGTTTTGATTCTTTAGTAGCGTCTTACTCTGTATACTCAAGCGTGATCATTTTTTTGTTATTTTAGGCATATAAGGTGGCAATTATATGTGCAAAACCCAAACAATACAACTGCAGTCACACATTAGCTGTGTAGGGAAAGTCGTCATCCTTAGTGGGCATGCTGAGTGCCAATAGTGAGCCAGCTAGCTCTCCTGCTCTGTCTCTGCATGTGCTGCTGGCACCGGACATTAATCTTCTCTAGGTTCACAGTCTGCTTGTGTTTAGTCAGAAGTAATCAGATTCATGCTGTGAATCTGACTTGATTTCATGTGTGCATGACTACCATTCAAGAATTTTGTATTTATGTGGCATAATTAATACGAAGCATTTACCCGATGAGGGATTTACTGTTAGTTTAAAAAAAAAAAAAAACTTCATCGGCACAGTCAGATTAAAAAAAAGCAAATTCCCTATAATGCTTCTTTCTGGTCTGGTGCCAGTGTACTCTATCAACGTAACAAAACATTATTACAAGAGAGCCTCTAGAAGGAGGTAGCGTAGGTCTCCTCATTGAGAATGCACGACAAATCCTGCTAGCTTTGGACGTCTAATTGGTCTCAAATACTCTGTTCTGCGGTGTGGAGCACTGCTCTGTTGTGCAGCTTTCTGTTGGGTCATCAGGTTTGCCTACTGTAGGTGGCAGAGACACGCAGTGAGTGGAGAAACTGAAGGAGGGAGAAGTGAAGACGAAACCGTCAGAATAAATATTGATGGAACATGCTGTGTTGGTCTGCGTGAGTGTTGGTGGAGTGTCGCTGACAGAGGGAGAAGCTTGGACGGACAGGTGCAGGAAAGTGGGTTGTAGGTAGCAATGGTGGTTGATGTTTGAGAGTGTGTGGTGGAAAGAAACTGGGCCCAGGGTCATAAGATACACTGGGCTGCAAGGGAGGGGGGTGGGTCATGTTCAGTGACAGCGGAGGGGGGGGTTGCAGGTGGTGGGGGTGGTATGTGGCTCCGAAGGGGGGGTGTTCAGGGTAAGTGGTTATTATGACTGTGAGAGCAGAGTGTAAAAGTGAGAAAGACGGGGAGGCAGGTGCCAAGTCTCACCACAAACAATGTCTCCACTGCATGACTCACAATTTCACCACGTTTTAGGACGTGGAGCTTTTGTGTCTGGCTGAGGCTGAGGCAGTCGCTACATGAGAAGTCTGCTGTTGCATCATATAACATTATATGAACGTGTGTGCATTTACAGCACATGAGGAAGTTTCGTTAGGGAACAAAAATAAAAGCGGACCGTTTGGAGCCGAACATGATGGAAGTTAGTTTAAAGGACAATCACTGCACCTTAATCCTCTTCGGTAAAATGTTCATTTTTAAACAGCTTATTTCTAATAGAAAACTACTGTCTGCAGTGCACTGGCAAATGTGTACATGTCCACTGATATTCAGACATAATTTCACAATTAAATCTGCAAGAAATTGTGATCGTGCTGTGGCTGAATCCGATAGAGTTGGGATAAAAGCAGGATCTGTGAGATTTTCAGTTTGCGAGAAGAATGGTAAAATTCAACGCCGGTAACTTCACAAACAAAAAAATCAAAGGATGTTTAATTGAGTAGTTTTCCACTTGTTTGCAGAAGATATTTCAAAACCACAGGCTTCAGCAGAATTGTACAGGCACTTATCTGAAGCCCCGCTGTGCATTTTCTTTGGTTGTCAGTGCGGTTATAGCCACATGTATTTCTTTGAATTAATATGGACGTCGTCTTACGGCAGATTTATGTCCCGTGTGAAATAAACAAACACTTGCCAGGTGTGCAACCACAATGTTAGAATGTGACGGAGCGGTACTACAGAAAAATCTACTACGCCCTACTCAGGATGGCTGTTTGTCATCACTCGTGCAGGTGAGGGGAGCTTTGGGCCAAGAACGGACAGTGCTCACAAAGAGTGTTTTGAAAGTGCAGATGCATGTATTCACAGACAGGGAGGGGAAAGTGCCTCCAACCCCCCCTACCCACTCCACCACACCCCATCCTAACACAGGAAGCAGCTGAGTTTCAGAGCAGAAGTGAACTTAAGAGAAGGGAAGGTTTGAGCCATGTGAAAAAAAAGAGACATCAAGCTGTCCATCGCACACGTCTGTGGCAATAAATACGCCGAGTTTCTGCAGCTAAGGACATTTTAACACAAGTGCTTATAGTGGGGCTTCTATATGGCCTGACACAACAAGTAGCTCAAGTCTTTTAAGGGCCAAGTGGCTATTAACAGGGGTAAGAAACAGAGATATGATCATATCTGAGTCAGTGGTGACAGGTGCTAAAAATGTCAGCCAGGCTTACTTTTCATATCGTGCAGGACACATCTGTGTCACTTGCATATTTTGGTCTGCGAGAGCGCTCAGGCTAAGACAATTATCAGGTAAAAAGACTACAAACAAGTAAAAGATGTGCACTTTACAGCAGGCCCGGTTTTAGTAATTAAAGGCAATTCAAATTGCTCTTTATTGCCACTTGCTACAATGCAAATGTACTCAGTGCACTTACACGGTTTCTTTTCTATAACAACTGTGAGAGCTGAGATCTAAACAAAAGCTAAAAGCACACTCCCTCCACAGTTTTACAGACCTGTAAAGCACCCTATTCTACTTTTATCATCATCTCTCAGGGCTGGGGAACCCCCTCGGTCCACCCCCTCCCCCTTTTAATGAATCCTGCATTCCCAGCTCTCACGTGGCATCTCTGCACTGTGCTGAATTGAGCAACTGTAACAAAGAATGGGGAAGTAGCTCAACGCCTGTTTGTACACGAGAAGTGTCTGTCTGCTCTGGAGGACCGCAGAATGAAAGCACAGAGAGGAAATGGCATTGCTGTAGATAGCGCGGTGGCAAGAGAGCGGATTTGTGACTTGATGTTAGGAAAATCTGCTAAACTGCCTGAGAACTAGGTCAACCAACATTAGAAAACAATTCTTGTGAATTGTTTTTGAAGCTGCTTAACAGTAACAAGATCAGGAAAAGCAGCAGCAACAGGATTGATATTTATATTTCACCCACATACAATTCCAATTGCTGTTTTGTCAACTGCTGACTTTAGCGTGGATCATCCACTGGGGAGATGACAATATCAGCTAACATCAGGCTGGATATTATACCAGCAAAACTCTAGTTATTTATCTATTATTTCAATCACACAAGCGTTTGCACTTTTATTACACTTTAGCTGTAGCTACACATAAGAATCATAAAGCTAGCAAAGAATCTCTGTATGTACATTAGTGAATATTACCTGCTGCAAATGTCTGGTTATACACAATAACTCTGAAGCAGAAATACCACTGAAGTTAGCTGGATGTGTTACTGGACATAATGCTGGACAGGTTTCTTTGAAAGGTAACAGTCTTGTTTTAATTTACATATTGGCGGCACAACAAATGCTAGCCTTATCCTCTGGAGTACTAACACACTGCTTAGTAATTTACTTTTTGCTAAGAAAGAGTGTAAAAGACTCCAAGACATTCTGTAATTACTTTTTACCAAGTCCTGTAAAGCTCTGTTAATTTACAACTCCGCTGACTTGTTTGATACTTTATTAGGAGCTAGAAGGTTATTAGCCTGTTAACTACTACATGTTCTTTTAGATTAGTCCCTTGGGATTGAAAAGAGGGATTATATGAATAACTCATTTCAAATTCTGCTCGATGGACTACTATTAAATTAAAAAAACCAAAAACATTTGCAATCATTTATGGTTTGCAAGCCTGCAAAGATTGACATATAGTTTCACAGAGCCGCTAGCATTGCTGTACACTCAGAACTGAGATTAGCTTAACTTTACACGGCTAATTTGGATTAGCTCATTTTCATGGCTGCAAGGTGCCTGAATTTAGGCCCATTAAGGCAATAAAGTCAACTTATTTTCCAGCTTTTACAAATAAAGGTAACATACAAATATGAAGGCTGTCAATTTAACTTAAATGATTCTATTTGGGGGAAATTGTACGGTTTGGGTGAGTATTTTCAACTGCGGCTTAATACACATTTGGGTTTCAATAATAAATATGTAAATAAGTAAATATAACATATCTACCAATTTTTTTTATTCAGTATTTTTTTTCATTTTTGTCTAAAAACATGTTTTTTTCTCTCAAACATAAATAACACTGACCCTTGATGTAGTTATAGAGCCACCGTATAAAAATTCAGAGCACTCACCATTGAAAGGGTTGATTCCTCTGGTGATCCTCTGTATGATGGCCTCTTTCACTTCTCTCCTCCTCACACACTGGATACCCAAATTCTGGAAACTGTAAGAAATTAAAAAAAAAATGTCATGAGGAAAATGACAGCACTCAAACATGCTGAATAAACCCTGAGTGAAGGGATCTCTAAAACTGTAAATGAACTCAATGATTTTGTTGTGCTTAAAGGTCAAAGTAATGACGCAATTACTCTCACCTATCCAGTCAGACCGGCACATTATTCAGTAGTAAAGAAAACATTCAGTAATGAATCTACTGGATTAATTCTGTTTGTTTACCCAGAAGGCCTGAAATTCAAAATGATTCTGTATTTACTACAGAAGTCTGTTTGGGATTTGCAAATTATACACACCAAAAGATACTGACTCATTCACACACTCACACACATGCTCCAGCACTCACACACGCGCAAAATTTTGTTTTCTCTCTCTAACACACAGTAAATATGGGTGATGTCACTTGGGGAATTCCCATATTGCCATCCTCACAGACATGGGTCGACAAATATGCTTTGTGTGTGTGTGTATGTGTGTGTGTGTGCAGTGTGCTGTAAGAGTTTCTTCAGCTGTGTCTGAGAGGACATCAGTTTACACATGATGCCTCCCGAAACCATCAAGCGAAAGACGAAATACTGTTAATAGAGAGCAATTCGGTTGTGCAGTGAGTGGCTCTGTGAGTGCGTCACAGAGAGAGTGGTTACTTATTTCGGTGAAAGTGTGCTGATTAAGATTGAGACTAGGGCTCTCAACGATAACAACTGGCAGCGAAGTAAGCAGACGCTGATAAAGAGCGAGTTTGGACAGGTGGAGGCGACCGTGGGAGGAGCACTCACGCGATCACTCTGCGGTCCGGGCCAAACTCGGCCTCGTAGAATCCATCTTTGCAGTCCTTTCCCACCAAGTCGTGCGGATGTGGTCGGTACGGCTCGTTCTTCGTCACCAGGTAAACGCGCACCTTTCCCTTCCCGCAGTAATTCAGGATCTGAGGAGAAGGAGGAATGGTGTGCGTTCAGACGCATGTAGAAAGACACATGCTTAGGTGCTTCTACGCACAAATACACAGGTTACACAGGAGGATTGGGGTCGAACCTGCAGGCTGGGGTACGTCCTGTTGTTGTCAGAGCTCTTCTCTCCCGGGATGCTTCCGGCTGAGCGACCCTCACACTTGTACCTGAAGCGCATTCCTCTCTGCTTGGGCTGCTCGAAGATCTGAATCCCTGGCTCAGGCACTAAGGAGGGGGTGACAACAAGCAGACGATAAACAGATTTGATAAGACGACAAAAGAAAACCCGAGTGTGAATCTGACACAGTTATCTGCTTTAGTTTTTTCCTGTTTGGGCTGCCACATGAGTGGTTTGGTGCTGGGAGGCAGGGGGCTCAAAACCTACATCTAACACTCAAATTTCTTTTTCTCAGCAAACATTTCGACATGTCGCAGCAGTAAAAATGCAGCTGTACAGGATAAAAAAAATTGCTGGCTGCTTTCCATTTAGCTGCCTCAGTTTCAGATACAGTCATTGCCTTCTTGGGAACCATGATTTTAGTGACACCTGAACCTTTCCCACTATGTCGAGCCTGCTGTGAAAAAGGTTTATTATGGTTTAATACTAATCTTTAAGTACTGGTCTATGAACCTTAAAAGGAACCTATTAGGCCATTTCCTTTTTTTATTTTATATACTCTAACAATTGTGAACCTTCATATTAAATCTAGTGATTTACATCAGCACATGTGTAAATTTTTACTTCAGACTGCTTTTAAGGCTCCATTTTAGAAAGTTCATCTTGGCTCTGTGTGATGTCACTGAGAGCATCTATCCCTAATATGGTCATCTCATGCAAACAGTTCTGGCTGTGCGCACCTACTGCTGTTCCCTTTCTGAGGGGCAGCAAATGTCTCTTTACACGAAAAGGGCCTAAAACAAAGGGCCTGCACCAGTGTGATATTAAGAGGCATTATTTTGAGAATCAAATCATGTTAAGCTATTTCAGTAGAGTCTGAGACTAAAAATATGGAAATTAGCAGGTCTGTTAGAAAGTGATTTCTACATACTAAAGATTGCTGCATGAACAGACCTATTGAATTCAACCCAGATGTGTAGAAATCTTTCAGCTTTCAAACAACTTAATGCTGATAGGACGTGACTGCAAATCTTAACACAAGTGTTAACTCAGAAAAGCACATTTCAGCCGTTCGGCATAATGACAAGGCATGAAATTTGTTTCCTCAACCTTTTTTTTTTTTTCTGGGAGGAAATAAAACCGACCCCACATGATGCCCGTGCAAGAGAGGAACTAAAACTGATCCGGGAAGCGTTTCAGTTTTTGCTGTACACTGTTTCCACTGAAGTAACAACACAAAACGTGGTTATTTTTGGACATGACAGCAAGCACACAGATCAGAGTGCTGCTTGTTATTCCGGCAGGCCAGTATGAAACAAGTCAAGTAACATTTTTGAAATGATTAAGAGAAAAAAAAGGAAAAGAAAAGAAAGAAAAGTGGCCCAGTCAAGTTTTGCCCTGATCACTTTTCAGTAACTGAAAGATCATGAGGCTCAAGCGCACTCACTACACACTATATAAACACACAGACCGGTAAAGACAAAGATTACAAGAACCTCAGGCTCTCTCACATCCTTACAACATAAGTCTGAAAATACAATGCTTACCAATAAAACAAAAAAGAGGAAGTGAAAAGACACTGTTCAGTGAACCATCACCCCCCCCCCAACACACACATTTCTGCACTTTTAAGTTTTAACCTGTGAAGACTATTTTTGTCAGGAGCACAAATGAAATTGACTTACGTAGGTGTGCTTCGTCCCGCAGCACGGAGGACATAAGAACTGGGGAGGAAAATGTGACACAGAAAAAATTTAGGCAAATAGATATCCAAATCACACACAGAGGAGTTGTTCTGTGGCAGTAATGGCGCTATTGCTAAAACTGGTCTTGTAAGCCCAATCAGTTTAGCTAAAGCTGCCCAACCAATAACACTGCTAGTCATGCAACAACGAGGAGGTTCACAGCATTCAGCAGTGACAGTACACACAACCAGTGTCGAATACTATCAAAGTCAAGAGTAAGTACTCCAGTTCGTGGTGATACTGTACAGCACGATGACCTATAGCCAGTACTACATTTTCGACTTTTTGACTGACACAGGTACACAGGTGTGGTTATTACCGTTTGTTTCCTACCCGCTCACTCTACACGTTTATCGCTGTTATTACACAGGAAATAAAAGGTGTTGCTACTCACCGTCCATGATGCAAACACTCTTTCACTCTGTCACGGGTTATTGTGTCTTGGAGAACCTCGGGCTGAATGAGTGACAGCGGGCAGAAAACTATTTTTTGTCAAGACACTAGCGGGGGAATTCCCGTCCGTCACATCTGATCTAGCCAATGAGAAGCTTCCTTGAAAAAAAGGGGCGGGGTCCAGACGATTCACTCTCAACTATGCCTCCTCCCTGCCCGGTCGCTCGAGGAAATGCACGGCGCGGTCCACGGGGGTCGGTCCTTCAGGGCTGGAGGTTAAAGTGGGTGGCGGAAGTGCGAGAATGAGGGTGGGCTCATACGTAAAGAAGAGCCACGCAACAGCAGCCGCAAATAAAGAACACGAAAAATTAGAGATAATAGAGATAATAGATATCAATTAGGGAGCACCACACGCACAGCCACTGTGTGTTTACATATACACACTGTTATACACAGCAGCCGTATATATAACATATACAGCAGATATGAGTACTGAGCGATACCAAGTAAACACAGGAACAGTGCTGTCACTACCAATACTGATACTTTTAACATATAACGGCGGTAGGGGAGAGCAAGTATGTCATGATTTACGAGATGAATTTGCAAAATTCTGAACACATTTGAATGACCACCAAGTCACTGTGATTCTTTACTTTACACAGTAGTTAATACAACAAAACACACAGCTCAGCTTTTCATGTATGTTGTATCTAGGTTGTAAATGCGCTCGTCTCTAAAGCACTTTTTGTTGGCTTCTGCTGTGAACCTGTCCTTTCTGGGCTTAACTAAGCATCTCTGAGATATCCTATATGTTAAAATTTTAAGTTTTAACATATATTTCAACAGAAACAAGTCTATCAGTAAAAATATATTGGTTTAAAGTTAAGTAAATGTGCAAAATTTTATGACTCTGTAACTTACTTTGGTGTGGCATAAATGGGAACACAGAAAAAAAAAACTTATGAAAATACAGGTAGAAGTCAAAAATTTCTTTATTCCTTCACATTTTCCAAAGTCATCCAGTAGGCCAGATTGAATTCTTTACCAGCCAGATTCTGGACCCTATGCCATATGTTTGAGGTGTATTTTCTTAATTTCTGGGGGAGGAAAAAAAAAAAAATCGTATAAAACAATTTAGTGGGTTACATACTGAACTTAGAGGATCAAAGCAAAGTTATTATTGTTGTAGTACCAGTATCAATCCGATACCACTACCAGCATTGGTATTTATACTTTAATCAGCCCAGCTCCAGTGTTTTCTCTGCTGTTTTGTAGTTGATAGTGTAGGCAATTGGCTATTCTTTATTGAATCTGCAGCTCAGAAAAACATCTGGTATTTGTTCATGACTTTTTTAGCTTTAGAGTTGCCAGTATGCAAGTTCTCAGGTTAAGCTGCTGCACTAAGTCACATTTGCAACCTTTATGACAAGCTGAACGCTCTGTGCAAGCATGAAATTCAAATTGATTTTATATTTCTTCTAGATGATTAGAAAAACAGTACATTTGTGAGAAAGTCTTAGTGAGATTCAAGGTTTTTTAAAGATTACAAATATATTATGTTGAGGAATCAAAATGATAATGGGAAACACAAGGTGAAGGATGAGGTCAGCAGCTAACTTGGGTAAAGATGCTATACCTCATTTTAATATAGTAATGTCAGCATTACACTGCTTCTCACTAAGACAGGATCTGCTTTGTTCATTCCCAGATCTATATTTCAGTTCTTGGACTCCGCTAGAGCAGTTTTGCATCTTATACCAGGCTTTGTTATTATAGTTTCATATTTTCTAATTAGTTTTGATAATCCAGTTCAGTTGTTATATTAGATGTAAAAAATAATAATAATAACAACAATCGTATGGGGTAGTTGCCAGAGGAAAGATTTAGGAAATTGTGTCCCCCCCCCCAATCTAATGATTTTTTTAGTTAACTACTGTAACCTTGGCCCCTTCAGCTCATCTGCTCCCTGACCTGCTTTGGCTTTCTTCCCCATTGCACACAAACAGACTGGATTGTATAGTTACTGGCTCTCATTTATTAATTCTTAGAAGACATTTTTTACTTCAACGATAAACATTTCCAGGAAATCAAACACGGCACATCAGTTATCATCCAATCCCATCGCTCCCATTACGGCGTTGTCATAGGTGTAATTATAAAATTGAGGAAAAAACAAACCAAACCACAGACAGCACATTGTTTTTAGGGGTTTAATAGGTGTACAGTTGTTTAAAGGAAGTGATAAACACATACAAAAATACCCTTTCAATACATTTTTAGAAACAAACATCTAAACGACCTGTTTTGTTAAATGTTTCTGAACAGTAAAACATGAGTTGTCTGAAACAGAGTGGTGCAGATTCAAAAGACCTACCTGCTATGAATGCTATTTAAAAAATAAGAAAAAAATCAAAAAGAAAAAAAAAAAATCACATGGTACAAATATGCAAATATAAATAAAGTGATAAGAAAACCCCCAAATAATGAAGAATATGCCTTTTGGAAAAAAAACTGTTCTCTGTACATTTAGTTGGGGAAACTGATGCTAGAAAGCCTATGTCCCAACTGTCAACCTGCTCCAATGAAGAGGGCGCCCCATTAGCATCGCTTTACACTTTACTATGTTTATATTTATATATCCTCTGTACTGAAATCAAATGCAAAGACACCCAGCTTCAAGATGGAGGGTTGGGCAAGGCAAGGCAAGAAAGTAGTTATCTCCCGACCCCTCTCCTCACCACCACCACTGCCACTAGTGGCCCCAGGAGATGCCTTTTAAGAACCTCCACAGGAGGCGCAGAGGGTTAACACCCATATAGAAGGGAATTTTGTCTCTCTCCAACACATAAACACAGCCATCTATGCATGCACGCTCACACACAGTCAACCAGATATGCATGCATACACTCACAACTCTTCAAAAAGCTTCGAACCATCTTTTTTTGTTTTGTTGGGTTTTTTTTTCTTGTCACAAAGCACCACAAACTTCCCAAAAGGACATGAAATGCACTCACAACCGGGACCTGGTTTTTATAAGGATCACACTTCACAAGCAAAACCAGACCACAGTGAACAGGTGGAGGGGTGTGTGTGTGTTTGGGAGGGGGTCAAGCAGTATTTCCAAACATTTTGTTTAGTCCTCCTGATGGACTAGAGCGAAATTACTACGTGTCAGACAATCAGCCAATCACAGACATAGAAAGCACTTCGGGGGAGGGGGGGGCGGTGTCTAAACCGTTCAATGCTCACTTTTTTGTGTCGGGACACTTTTCTGACATCTAGGGATTGAACGAACGTGAGCAGAAAAAGTCAGCCTTCTTGTCCAATCAGAGACGGACGGGTGCGACACTGAAGCTCAGACAAATAGAACTATAAGCGTCTGTGGCACTTTGATATGGTTCTGGTGACTGTTCCTGTTGTCATGACAACATTTTCTTGCCCTTACCAGCCCCTGAGAAGCTCTTGTGTTGCCCAAGATCATTTGCGCGCCTACACCTGGAGTCCATGCTGGTCCAATGAGCTGTGGTTTTAGTATCCAGTCACATCCAAGCACACCCTTATTAAACCCTCCCTGCAACCTATGCAGTATCTACTGAAGATATCCAGGGCACTGGACAGTTTGTTTTTGGACAAGCAGTAGAGAAAACAAAGAAAAATTACATTTTTTTAATATACTTTTTTTCCCCATTTTTAGATAAAACTACAATAGAATGGTCAAAAGTTTTAACGGTGATCTTTTGCTCCTTTTTAAGACAAAAAAAAGTTATGTACATCAACATTTACTGTACAGGTTTCTGTTGAGGACAAAAGAAAATGGAGTAAAAGAAAATCAGCATACACCAGAAATGTGTGTAGCAAGTGCTGATAAATGATCAGGGCCTTTTTTTTTTTCTTTTTTTTTTTTTTAAACTGGAAAAAAGGAGACGATGAAATAGAAGGACAGCATGTTTTCCTCTTGTAATGTGTAGATTTCTAAACACAGAGTTAAGAAGAAGAAAAGAAAAGAACAAAAACCTGCTGCTTTAGTTCTCGTGTCATATCTCCGAGACTGCGGGAGGGGGGTTAAACTCCCCTCTGGCTGTGAGTGTGTGACAGCAATGGCCGAATCCCCTATCCACTGGCAAGACTGTAATCTCCAAGTCTGAGGTGAGGTGTCTGTGCTGCTTCACGCTTCAGACTGACTGACCTGAACGCTGCCGCCTGTCCCTGTGTGAAGTCACGTCCTCGGTGTTTGACTTGACTTAAAGCCCCTCACCTCGGTTATCTGTGTGAATCCAGTCTTTGTTGGCAGTTCAAGCTATATGGATTCTGGCCTTTTCTGTTTCTTTCAGCCTTTTGGCCTGTTCCTCCGACGATGGGGAGTGGGGTCTCTTGGAGGCTGCTCCGTTCAGAGGGTCGACTACTCGACTCACTAGCGTGGGGATGGAGCTGCCGATGGGAGGCACCACATGTTTGGATGTCACATGTTCTACAGAGAGAAAGATTGGGACAGAAATGGTGAGTTTTTCCACTAGCCTTTGTATTGTATCTTAGCTTAGCATGTGCTAACAAACTAATGGAGAAATTATGCAATACATTTGGATCTTCATTAATGGATAAGATAAAAAAAAATATCACTTTCTTATATACACACAATACAATCTAATAGATCACAAAGAGTAAAATCTTACTTGACCAACTCAACATCGTAAAGGAAAGAAAAACAAAGCTCTGCTTTTACTTTAAAATGATATGGAAAATGTGGTGTTTAGTGGGGCAAATCAGAAACGCAGCAGGTCGCTAAAGAACACCTGTAGTGAGCAGCACTGCAGATGCACGAGTGTGGTTTGCGATTAGCAGCACTGACGCGTCACCAAAGTCGACAGCTGAGCGGCGCGATGGAAAAAACATCTGAACTAATGTAGTGTGCATCACTCAGAAATGAGTGCAAGATCACCGTTCTGGAGGTCACAATTAATTCTAGGACAGCTGCTGGTAATGTAGGCTGAGGTGATGGTTACCATTTAAAACAAATGCTGTGCTGTAGTGCGGCTTTGGGGTTTGTTACTGCGTTTGCTCCAGCCATTACATGCTGGTTCATAAGTATTTTG